TAGTTTCATCACTGCAAGTCATTGTAGCTTTCTAAACCAATAAAAAGCCCCTATCCTTTATCAATTTTGTTTGCTATGGAAAAACATATTAAACCTGGCTGTACATCAGTGTCAAAAAGCCATTATAGAGAATGGAGAGCCAGACATGTGATACTCTTAGTGGCTTACAAAAACATCGAAATTAAATCCTGCCATTTTCAAAATGCTTTCAGGGCCTGGATGAGCTAAAGGTTGACATTTCCTTCTGATTGAAGATGTTGGAAACTTATATCTAGTGCCTAGTGCCTGTGTTAACAGTAACATGGACATGGACATCAATTCCTACTTAATTTGAAAGTACAATATATCATGCTCTTTTGATGGATGTGTTATATTTCTGTAAATTTCTTGCTGTACCATGAAAACAAACTACAGTAGAATTCTCTTGACATTGAATTCTCTTATAGACCTGAAATGTAGAAAACCTCAATGACTTATCTTTGGGGTAATTAAATGCTGATGTGGAGACTCCTGACAAAGTATAAAACTGGATATCTTGTAGAGACTAGAGGTGAAATCATGTCCTTCCTATTCTTGTTTTTAATTTCATCATTCTGCATCTTCCAAGGGAGTCATTACATGGTAATTTTCCATCATATGATACATAATCAAATCAATTCCCCTTCTGCAGAATACATCATGTTAGTGGCCACAGAGGCCGCACCGATTTATCTCATTTGGTCTTTGATATGGAAAGTGAATGCCTAAAGCATTTTAGAATGAAATAAAGCATTTCTTGGAACACTGATTCATGGACTTACATTGTACATGTAACATACTCAATTTCCTCCCAACCCTCTGGTTTCGTCTCGACCCCTTGCTGAAATCTTTACTGCAGAATGTCTAAGAACCAAGGAAACTGATTGGTGGAAATTTGAGCATATTATGCATGCCAGTTACATTTTGCTTTTTCAGTATTAAAAGATCACTTGTACACGTTAATAGAGACTTGAAACTCTCTTTATACATGTACATGTATACATTTACTAGTACACCAGTGACTGTAATTGACAGCACAGAACGATGCATTGAAAGCCACACTGCAGAGTAATTCACTCTCACGGTGGTAAAATCTGGGCTGCAAAGTTCCCACATGTCATAGAACCCGAACTGTGTTCGATCGTGTTCGATCTGGGCAATTCGAATCGAACCCGCGTTCTATTTCGGGGTCACCTGCGGTCATTTACAAAAAAGCGGCAAAACAAACCTTTCTGTCTCCGTGCATTGCAACAGATAAAAAACAACACTTTTCTATAGATACAAACAGTTTCCTGGACAGTACATGTCCGCTATTATTTTTGGTGGACATGTAACATGTAGCGAAGCTACTGTCGTATCCTTGAGTGACCTTGAATACTGTAATGATTCTTTACGCCAGTATGAATAACACAATGCACACTTTCCGGCGATATGACATGTCTCCAAAACTCGTTCAAACCTGGAAATATGGAGAGTCAAACATACCCCATTTACGGCTCAAAACGACTGTTACGGTTGTCCCGAAAATCGTGTTTTAGCGATTTTTGAAAAATGGCCTCAATTTTGAATTATGGGTAATTTAGTGAGAAAAATGTCAAAAAATGCCATTTTTTCACCAATATGTCGACAAAAACTAGACTTAAAATCAGAAATCAAAAAATCCCTAAAACACGATTTTTTATCTTATTCCTAGTCTGCGAAAAATATAAAAATCGGGGATCTGGGGTAAGATACGTAGCCAGGTTTGAACGATGTTTGCCTAAAAACGTGACTTGACTTGTGCCCGGAAACCCGAAAATAATCGTCTTTCTGAGCGAAATTTTAAAAAATCAATGATTTAACATAAAAAGCTAACATTTAAAGGGTGTTAAGACGATAATTTCATTTTAATTTGACGAAATTTACGCCTAAATATTATTTGTTTATTTTCAAATATTTTACGGGTAGTCCAAAACAGGCCAAAATAGCGTCTTGTAACCCGATACCTTTACGAACGCGCATAGCAATGGGAAAGAATACCGTAGTGACAGACCGCCGTGTCTGCATCTTGGAAGCTCTTTTTAATGAATTATGCTGCAAACATGTGCCATTTTGCATAGTAGTTGTATTTTCATTCTCTTTTATTGCAACCATAAATGTTGTTGATGACCAATGAATAAATAGCAAAACAGAAATGCCCTTTTATGAATAAGGACGTTTTGCATAATTGTCATAACCTAAGATTCACTGCCACAAAACATTGTAATAGTCCTGAATAATTCAAAACAGAGTTGTAATATAGCTTTAACCTTCTTGTTGTTTGCCTATCCCCATATGTATATATGGTGCCAAATGGCTACAGCAGGGAGAAGGTTAATCTACATGTAGCTCTTTATGGGCAAAACCACAGATCCTGAAGATAGCAGTACTGGTTCAATCCTGCCTCTTGGCTTTTAAGGCCAATTGCGTTATAAATAGCCTCATCACTTTTAAAGTCATGCCATCGAGATGGCAGGATAAGCTGTGGGGGATTACCCGGAAAGTGTTTTGTTTTTCCCTCCATGGCAACCAAGTAAACGATGGCTCAGTGCTTGAGGCATTCTGAAATTATCTATGAATAGAATAATAATACTTAATAGGAAAAACATTTTACATCGGGAATCAAAGACGGAATGCTTAAAAGTTATGAGATTTTATCTGTTATAGTAGTTACTACCTGCTGTGTCTGACAAACTAAACAAAATGCTCACAGAAAAAAGTCCCACTGTTCACAATTTCTCCTCCAGGCAAAAAGTAGTTATTCATGTACAAGAGGTTGATCCCTGTAATGCACACACACACACACACACACACACACACACACACTCATATATATATAGTAAAGTTCCAAACATATATTGAGTTGATATTTAGGTGCACATGTTCCAGGGAGTGGATATAGTCAGAATAAACATTTTCCTCCCAGCCCATCTTTTCCTCTTGCTGAATTGTTGCTACAAATGTCAAAAATCCAAGATAATGCTGTATCAGTCTTTTCAACTGCCCTTTGACATTTAAATACACCACATTAGCTTTGCAGGCATTACATAGAACAACTCTACACACCTGAGTCAGCATATTAAATTCCCAGCTTTGTTTAAAAGGATTCAATGAAGCAGTCTCCACCATATTTGGTGGCAACAAGGTTAACCTCAGGCTGCTATTTCACTAGTCAACCAGTTCAACTACCAGATCATTTAAAATTGCTGTTTTCTTTTTCTATCAAAATTGGAATGCAGAATCTACAACTTTTCTAAGGTTCCACCTCAGTTCACCTATATGAATTTTATGTTAACAATAAAACAAACAGGATTTAAGTTACATTTATTTAATGTTTCTTTGCATGGTGTCAATTAGCCAAGTAGCTAGGCTAGTGAACACGAGATTGAGAGGTCGTGGGTTCGATCCCTGGTATCCTTGGCTAGATGTTGTGTCCTTGGGAAAGGCAGTATACATACATGAATTCCCTCTGCACCCATGTGTAAAAAGGGTAGCTGACTTCCGTTGGTGGATGCAAAAGGTGGTGGTACAAGAAGGATGAGCTCCACTTTCCAATACCGTACCCTAGATACAGTGGATAAACAATCCACTGCCCCTATGGCCTCAAAAAGGTTATGAGACTACCTTTACCTTTTTACTGCTGTCTCTTGACAATGTTGTCAGGTTTTCCATCTATCCTCAATTCTCCCACAGAATAAAACAAATATCAAAGGTGGCAACCCTATAACTGCTAAAGATGACCTAAGACAATAAATGAAACAACATGCAACAGAAAGTTTTCAAATACATGTACAACAACTTGAAAGCTACAGCTGCTAGCAATGTCCTTGGTGCTGAAAACCCAGTGGTTGACATTAGTACTAGACAACTTGTTACTTATCTTTTCCTCAGTGTAAAAGGAGACAATCCAATAGTCAACTGTCAGCACATCAGCTATAGCTGTCCCAAAAATCACTCCTCATCTTCCTTGACTAATAGAAAATGAATTTGAAAGGTTAACAGAAGCGCAGTATCATTTTCGTGTCTTGATAATGCTTGCTGGTGTTCATTTCAATCAGGACAAGAACTGAAAATATGAGATGGTCTTTTCTTCACTGAAGTATACGGCAAAACTTTTTCCTAGTTCGATCTTGAAATATGAAAGTGCTTGCTCATAAATTTTCACTTTAGTGTCAAACTGATGAGGATGTAACTCAAACCAGTGACCTTTGGCTATATGTGGTAGCTGCTCTTATATAGGTTTTTGCATGTATGCTAAAACACTTCACATTTCAGGTTATCCTTCCTACCTACAGTGTAAACAGATATTGAATTATATAAACAAAGCAAATCACTAACAGCCATTCTTAGAACATATGATATAGCTGTTATATAAATTTTTGCACACCTATATGTGATTTCAACCTCTTTGTTGAATGTCAGTTTATCAATTCGTCTTAGTAATTGAATTGTATAAACCAGCCAAATGCCATACAGACAGTATTTAACCAATTGTACATTAGTTTGGGCACACCGTTATTTCTCACCTGCCTGCCTAAGTGCCTTGCCTTGCACCATTCTTAATACTAGTATCGCAGTACAAGCCCAGTGTCTGATCTGATCTTTTCAGGGTTTTAGAGAATATTTCTCAAAAGGTCGTAAGTGTTATCCTTTAATTTTTAGTTTACCTATTGGATAGAAGTTGACACAAGATCACAAGTTTGATTCCTTGCATTCCTCAGGCAATGTTGTGATTTTCAGAAAGGTACTTTCCACAACTATCCTCACTTTATCCAGGTGTAGAAACGGTTCCTGACTTCAGTTGGGAAGGTAAAAGTGGTGGAAGGAGGGAGATGGACTCTGTCTTCCAATGCTTCCCTAAACACAGTGGATTAGGAAAGAACCCACTGCCCCTACGGTCTTAAAAAAAAACTACAGGACTACCTTTACCTTTCTTTAATCTTTCGTTGTGCCCCCCTCCCCAGTGTCAAACAGATGCTGAAGGAAGCAATCCAACAGAACGACTTCATGAAGAACCTGGACCCCATCCAGATGAGTGAGATTGTGGACTGTATGGACTTCCAGATGTTCCAGTCAGGACAGAAGGTCATCCAGGAGGGCGAGGCTGGGCAGCAGCTCTTTGTGGCAGAAGGTGGGAAGAAAAGATTTCATCCTTAATGTTATAAATATTGGTGATATATTTTACAGGGGAAAATCTTTCACAACTTTGTGCCCGTTTACAAAAATAAGGTGCTTGCCCTTTGAGTAAATTCTGAAGAAAAGACTTTTTGTTAGCAATAGTTTTGTCGAAGAAAAAAGTGTGAATAGTCATTAAAATTTTTAACTTTCACAAACCATCAAAACGTACAGGCAGCAGCATGTGCATTCATGTATTATTTAGGTTTTGTTTGGGCCACACACAGTGATTGAATATTCTGTTTCATGATAATCTTGACATAAAGCATGTTTGCCTTATATATAGTATGTATTTAGCACAGCGGTGTGTTGACAATGCTCTCACCTGAAATCTTGAGTGTTCAAACATTAGTTCTTTGAATGGAATCCCCACCATAACATAATGTGAACAGCATAATAAGGGCAAACCTGCAAAAGGAAATGGGAATAAACCAGACAAAGTAAAGACCTGGCCTGGTTGTATGATACTCCATTGGGCTGGCAAAAGCAAACAGTGTGTGTTTGGCCTTCATAATAGGCTGTGATGTGTTTTCATTTCCTGTGTGTACAACATATAGTTCACAGAGTTTCTATTCAACAGTAGAGGTCTGCACTGTAGTTTGAACTGTACTGTGCAACTCTTTTCTTCCGGTCTGTTTTTCTTCCGGTCAAAAGCCATGCCCAAACGTTATCTATAAAATCAAGTTTGTGTGACATGCATGTGAATATCATTGTGACACTGTACTAGACACATATGTGTATCAATTCAATCTACCTCAGAACTGCTACAATGCAGAAATATTGTGCACTATATGTAAATCATTGAAAGGAGAGCTTAATAACACAAACAAACAAATGTGCAGCCCCATGAAAGAAGCATGCACTTTCCTATTCTCTCATGTCAACAAAGTTCAGAATAATAAAGTATTAAAAAAATAATTTAAATGTTTGTTACAGTTGGTGAATTGAAGGTGACAAAAGGAGGCAATGATCTGGGCAACATGGGGCCAAAAACACTGTTTGGAGAGCTGGCACTCTTATATAACTGTAGCAGAACAGCTACTGTCAAAGGTGAGTTTTTATTATAAACTTCAACTTTGAGAGAGGACATTTTTTTTAATTCAGTGAAGTGTATGCTGCTATCAGCGCAATAGAGAAAGCTACATTCCCATATAGTCAAAATGAAAGCAGACACAAAAAAGCTAGAAATTATAGCCCATATGCATGTAGAAACTGCTTTGATATTGCAGAAGTCTGAAAATGACTAATAAATAACTTGGCAAACTAAAAGGATACATGCAGGTTCAGCATTAGGAATCACATATGACATAAATCAGGGTTAAAGTACTTTCCTGAAACAGTATATACATGTATACTCATTCAATGTACCAACGTTAAGAGGAGTCAGATCATAGTAAAAAAAAGGTGAAGACGAATTATTATTTCATTTGATTCAGAAGAAACTGCTGATAAAATCTGTGGTGTTTTTCAGCTGTTACTGAGTCCAAGCTGTGGGCCATCGACAGGAACATTTTCCAGATGATCATGATCAAGACAGGAAGAACCAGAAGAGAAGAACACTTCAAGTTTCTCAAGAGGCAAGTTTAAGACATCAGATAATACAGGAAGGTCCCCAAGAGGTTTCTTCCTATAAAAAAATTAAACATTCAACATATTTTCACAAGGTTTTCACTTCTTGGAGGAGGCAGGACAGGTATTAGATCTGAAACAGGTATGGTCTCTAAAATACAACAAAATCCTGTCAAAAATTCATAAAACTTTGTCTTCCATATATAGAATTGACCATTTTATGGAGACTGTTTGAGAGTTCTATATTGGATTCATGTCATATAGTCCATGACAACATCAATCATCCAAAGCAAAATGAGGATTTTGTAATAAGTAAGTCCGTAAGCTAGGGTGTACACTTTCTGTCTTAATCTTTGATAACAGAAGCCTAGAACCATAAGTGGGTGTTTTATAATAATCATTTTACCCTGGATGCCCCAACTTTCCAGCAAACAAAATCAATAGCAAAGAGCCAGTAAAGGTAATACAATTTATTAGCTGTTTCAATTACAGAATGCATGGTAGAACCGTATTTGGTGGTCTGTATTACTAGTAATCCCTTTACCCTGGTTGTCCTAACTTTCCAGGGAACAAAAAAGGAAAAAATACAATGGCAAAGATCCAGTACAGATAGTACAATTTATTAGCTGTGGCCTGTGGATAGTGTACATGAAGGTCCCTGCAGGAGAAGTGTGTTGATGGTGGGTTATCCTGTGATCTCTCCAGCACTGGTGATAATCCTGCAGCATGTTTTACACCCCTTGATTGATCACTACCTACGCACTGATGCTGAAACTACACAGCTTTCCTGGACCCTTTCCAGAATCCTGCCCGCAAATGGACCACCCTGGCAGTTAAACTGCTGAAAGTGGTGTAGAAAGTATTTCTTTACAGTTGCAACAGGAAAGGGTATGGATGTTTTCACCAGTCCAAATGGCCAACATAATGCCCTGTACCACATCTTTACACAGTCATTACACGTAATGACCTTCTTCAGTCGTGAAGTGAAAGACAAGGTCAGAACCCTTTCTGTGAAAATGACAGCCAGATTTGCTGACAATGTTTGCCCAAATGGCATGTATCTTCACATTCATCAGAATATGATTCGAAGACACAAAGTTGTTAGTAACAGTTGTCATTGATTGTGCACATGCTGTCCAAATTTTCAAAATTTAACAAAAATAATATTTAATTTAGCATCTCATTTACTTAGTAATACATGTTTCTTCAATACTTGTACAAAGAAGGTCATACATTGTAGTTTCCAAAATGCTAGAGAATCTAGAGTTTAGCTGTTCTTTAGTTTCCACCAGAGACTCCCCACATAGCAAAAATCATGGTTATCTAGCATCTTGAGTTTTTTCCAAACAAACCAAGCTGTCAACATCAGTGAAAACACCATCCCCTTAATGGCCTTTTGCCCACGAACATTAAGATAAGTGTGTAGATGTCCTTTATTGCACTGTCCCTATTACTGAATGTATAAAATGGCTCTTTAAGGACCCTGAAGCCAAAGGCCAGGTTTGAAAGGCCTCAGGGTGTTCTTACTTGGGATTTTTGTATGCCATTCTCCTACCAGACACACAGGAGGAATCATGAGATGTTCTTACAGCCCTTCACTGATGATAACATTCAAGGCCACCTGCATGCATACATACATACATGAAGACTGAAAAATGATGACAGATGCAGTCTTCAAAATATTGGCATATAGCAACAAATAAAGAATGTCAAAATACCATGTTGTTCAGCTTTGGTTTGAGTACATGTGCATTTGATAACAGAACTTAACTTTGATTTCCTTCTACTCCTACACAGTGTGTCATTGCTGAAGGAGCTACCACATGCCAAACTCTCCAAGATAGCAGACTGCCTTGAAGTGGTAAGAAATCATTTACACCTTACAGATGGATACATTCCCTTCCTCCTCAGCACTTGCGGTGTGCCTTGAAACCCCACATGAGATCTAATCTGCTTTGATCATACCTAAGTGTGATTCCATTTAGCTGGAAACTGTTCAAAGTGTCAAACATAAAAGGTGCAATTTTCCCCATTTTCAATACAGGCATGTTTCTGGTAAAGTGGTTAAGCCTATAGGCCGCATGATAATGTGTGGTTTGCTGTAGGTCCTAAGTTATTCCAGTCATGCCCAGGCTTGTTACACACACTGGAACCTATTTACTTGATGGCAAGGTGCACTGGGTAATTGCGCACACAGGCCTCCTCTGCCCACAGTATAATGTTGCAGGCAGTAGTCTAATGGCATGACCTTCAAGATAAGTGTGGGGGTCATGCCTAAAAGTCGGGTGTGTGAAATTGCTTCAAATCTAGGAAGCTGTATTTTAGTCAGCTGTCATCAGGAAGTTCTGCGGAACTGTGACATGTTTTCATCTTCAAATTGAACAAGCCATTGTACTGTTTTATAAATCTGTTGACGACCTTTCAAGCCTATAATCCACCATCTGATTCAGGTACTACCTTAGATGGAATGGCCTTCTACCTTATCATCATATCAGGTGAAACGAAACAGTCAACAATATTTCAATTCGAACACACTATTCAAAGCTTAATCTTATTTACACCAATTTAGACTTTCCATGCTCCAAAGTACATGTATATTATCGTTAGGCCACACCAATTTAATTTCTTGGTTAACGGATTCGCCACTTCATTTTTTTCTGATTTGCAAATAAAAATAAAAATTCAGAATCAACTGCAAAATGCTCATATTTTGCCCTGAACAGTTGAAAACAGTCCTTTTCATCCTAGTTGTTACAGTTATTCCATCTTTCAATGCAATGGTATCATAAAAAGGTCAAAATTCATTGTTTAGATTTTGAACCAGCCTGGTGTGTTGGCTTCATGGCTCCCTGGTGTGTTGGCTTCATGGCTCCTATCGTACCATTTTGGGCCATAAGACGATGCCTAGGCCTGTTTTTTATTTTTATTTTTTTTTCGCCCGCCCGATCCATTATTTTTCTAGAAAAATCCGTTAACCAAGAAATTAAATTGGTGTGGCCTTAGAGAGGAAAAAAGGTCTGTTTCATCTTTAGTTACCTGCAACTGTTATATGCTATTAGGTTTGCCAGGGCTGTAATATGTGTAGAATTAACTCAGATATGATCTGACAGTGTGTGAATGCAGTTATTGCCCTGTATAAAAGGGGTCAAGGCATTCTCGATTCTCTAATAGATATGCTAGACTTCTGTATGAATAATGTTCATGTACACTGTACTCATCTCCTTCCTGATGACTTGTGAAAATGGAATCTCCCATACTTGGTACTACGTGTAGTTGTTTTTCCTTGCTTCATTAATTATTGCCTCGCAAACTAAATTGACCGCTTTATCAGTGAAAATTAAAGTGGGGTGGCATGCAAGGTGCACGTTGAAAATGAGAAAGAAAGATGGTTGAGAAATCCTCATATTGGTGTTGAAAGAGGTCAAAGTAAATGTTAAGAATAAAATTTTTCAAAGCCTTGTTATCAGAATGAAAAGGAGATTAAAAACATGAAGTCACTTATGAGATGAAATTCTAACATGAACGACAAGTGCAAGACCTCGAAAGAATTCAAAGTAGAGGCAAACATTCATCTAAAAGAGGTTAAAAAATATAACTTGCAAGAGTTTGGCTGAAGTTTAAACAAGTAAAGAAAGTTGGCAACTGAATATATTTTTACCTTAGTTTGTAGAATTGTACGAACATTCAACACCTCCCTATAGCAAAAATCACTTCAAGCCCTAAATCCAGGCCCTGGGTATGAATGAGCTTGCACACGGGTTCTGAATTGTACATTGATCTTTGCCTTATCTTGGTGCAGCTGCTTTTAAAGACCCGACTGCCTGGGGGCAAACATGCTATTTACACTTATCCTGCAGGTGGTGGGGAAATCTACAGGCTTCGTTCAGACATGTCCATCCATAATCCTCACAACTGTTCAGACTTCTGACATTTCCAGTGAAGCTACACTATCGTGATTGATGGCTGACATCCTCTCGGGAGGCGGGAGTGTGAAAAGCTTCTCGTCTTGTTGTTTGGCATTTTACGACAGTCTCATTTTTCAACATTTAACATATCCTCCAACCAGCAACATGATTGTGATCCTCAGGGCATGATTTTGTGTTAGTTTTATGAAAGCCTGCAGTAATCTGCTGATTTATAACAAGATCAGGTTATACTTCAGAGTAATTTTACATCTCAAAAAGGAGCTGAGGGTTTCTTCTTTTTGGGAAGCAAGTCAATATTAGAATCGATGCAGGCGTGAGTCTTATCCGTAAAATGAGTCGTTTATGTGGCCTGATGGGGTTGTGCCCAAACTGTCAAAGCTTTAATTGCTTAATTACTGAGGGGTAGGTGTGCCATCAATTCTCAAAATTGGTGTTCAGGTCAGTGTGCTAAATTGGTAGTTGCAGACGATATCATATATTGCTGCTCACTGACTCTTATAAGAGTAGAAAATGTACACGTCAATCATTGTAGCCATGAATGCATACAGTCTGAGCCAACAAACCTTTGCTGAAGATGTATGAAGAATTTGAATGTCAGGTATAAGGCATCGTTTTTTCACACTTCCACCATTTGTAAAATCGGTATGTGTGAAGTCTCTTCAAGTTGATGGTTTTTTTTTTCAATTTTCAAAGAACAGTTGTCTTGACCACAAAAGCCACATATATCAAGTAGACATTCCCACAAAACAAGTTGCTTTCAAAAAATCAATGTCCACAGCAAGTTGATATTGACTACCCTGTGGTAAGACAAGTTTTTGTGGCTAAATTTTCCTGAAAGCTGGTTAGATGGGAGCAGGCAGCATGGAGTTTATCAAAGTTCAACAGTTGCTGAAGTTGAGCAGACTCTCGTGCACTCGTGATCAATCCGTACTGACGGGAGTCACGATCTACTCCAGTTACAGCTTTGATATTTCTGCCTCCGCATTTCTGAAGACCCATTGAGCCTGAAATGTTCTCCCTGTAATAACAAGTTCAAAAGAAGCAGCAATCAATCCAGGAGAGGGATACTGTCCATCAGGCCAAATTGGACCTAATGACAGGAAGAAGTAAAAGCTGGTAGAAAGCTGAACCATTGCAACAGACATAATTGGACAAATTGCAGATTTTCTAAGCGTGCCTACCATACTTGACAATGTGTTTTATCTCTGAACTGTTCAGTGGTCTACGAGTAAGAGGCCGTAGAGAACATAGGATGTCTCCAAACAACCTTGTACAACACTAGCCCAGCTTTTGAACCCGCACTATGGGGTAAATGTGCACACGTTAAAGATTCCCAGAGTTTTCATTAAGAATTCAAAATATCACCTTGTGCATGTCAAGTTACTTCAAATCAAATGTAGAAATGCAGCACAGAACCAATTTGGTTCAGAATACATACAACTGGAATTGACTGCAATTGTAGCTCTTCAGGACGGAGATCCCAAAGTGTTGGTCCTGTGTTTGAGGAGAGTACTACATGAAAGAACCCAGCACATTTCCCAGAAGTGGGGACTATGCCCCCATAAGTGCTGGCCCAAACCTTTCCATTTCCTACTTTATGTGTTGTCCACTACTTCATGTTGGCATCTAAAACTACCTGAAGATGCACTTATTGGACTCTGTGGATTGCTCACGACACAACTTTCTTAATAACCACTATTTTATTACTTGCCTGTAATGTGTCCTGCAGGACTTCTACCATGAAGGAGAGTACATCATCAGAGAGGGCCAGACTGGAGATACTTTCTTCATCATTATTGAGGGCGAGGTGAGCCTGTCAATCTTCCAGGGCTCATAACACGACCCGCTTCAACTGGGGAATTCCACTTTTACCATCACGGTTTTGTCTCTAATACAGTCTCAGCTATTTCCTTGACCTGAGAAGCCCTTTGAAATGTTAATAGCTTTGCAAAGTGCTTCTCTATACAGTAACAATTTTAAGACTGAGACTTAGAATCGGAAAAGAGTAAGTAATTCCAAAATCACGGAGTGGATTGTGTTTTGATATTTTCTTGAGAGAAGACTAGTGAAGTGCAATGATGTGATTATAGTATTATTTTCAAAGTATGCCTAGAATTACAAATCAGCCATTTCTGCTGAACTTAACCTTTCTGGAACCTTATTCAGAATGCTGAATAAAGGCTCGGTGCTCCAGGTAGTGTCAGCTAAAAGAAAAATTAAAAGAACTGGCAGGCAAAACTGTTTGTTAACGGTTGTTACGATGGCGCATGATAAACTTTCAAGGATGAATTTTATTACAGTTTCAAAATTGTCACAGCAGGATCCATCAACACGCAATAACTTTTCAAATATTATGCATTTAACTGCAGATAACAACTGTGATTGATATGATGTAGTTCAGTATGATATGGACAGGTAAATCATTTGGACAGCTTTGCAGTACTATATCAATGACAGTTACCTTTTAAAGGATTGACTGTTTAGCCATGGCCGGCATGTGCTGCAAGCTTTTAAAGGTTTGACAGGTGTGAGGGCTGGCATAATTGACAAGAAGAGATTTATGGTACTTTTCATAATGTGGGAGAACGGATCCTCAAGAGTCAGACATGCTATAATTGGAACTGCACGTCGTACAATTTTCACTTAATGTCAGTATAATGCAGGGATTTTCCATTTGGCTAGATGGAGGGGGTACAACAGAATCTGATGGTAATTTTTGCTGTCATGGACTTAGATAGCAAGGTTTATCAGTAGACCAGAAGACAATTTGCTTCTCAGTTAATAGACTTAAGGCCACACCAATTTAATTTGTTCGTTCACAGATTCGCCCGCCTCATTTTTTTCTGATTTGCAAAAAAAAAACATTTTAGCCTCAACTCCAAATTTTAGAATCAACTCCAAAATGCTCATTTTTTGCCCCAACAGTTGAAGGAAGACCCTTCTCTTCTGAGTTGTTACAGCTTTTCCATCTATCAATGCATTGATTTGATTAAAAGTTTGAATTTCATTGTTTGAATTACAAACCAGCCAAGTCTGTTGACTTCTTGGCTCCTATCATGGCTATCATAGGATTTTATAGGTCTGTTTTTATTTTTTTTCGCCCTGTCGCTTTTTTCTGAAAAAATCCGAGAACCAACAAATTAAACTGGTGTGGCCTAAACATAATCTTATCAGTAGCAGACTTAAGCCTAGACATTTCTAAACTCAGCATGTTGTAACTTTTAGCACCCTAAGGGTGAAATTGAAATTACTCTTTATTACTCTTGCAATCGCACAATGAGTAAGAGACACATCGACAAGCCAGCATCAATTTAAGTGATATCAGACAGCTATAAATTGTAAAAACCTGCCAAAAACAACCAACAAAAAATATGTGCATTGCAGTATCTTTGATTTTACTATTAGTAAGAAAAAAATAGGTTTGAATTCTTTTTATGGTGTAAAAGGAAGAAATCATATACCACTACTCATGATTAAGATTCTGCTAATCATGTTATAGAAGAAAGGATGCATTCATGCGTTAAATTAAACCTAGTACACAATTACCTGGATGGCATGTTGTTAGAACTGTGAGGTGTAGCAACCCGGTTGCTGGTGACAATTGTTAATGGATGAGTCTCCTTTAATCAATTGTTGTTACAGGTTAAGGTGACCCAGAAAATAGAAGGTGTAGAGGAGCCAAAAGTGATCAAAACACTCAGCCGGGGAGAGACGTTTGGAGAGAAAGCACTTCTCAGGTTATCTCAACTTCTTGTTCTTTTCTTTTTGTCACCTTCAGTGATCTTCTAATTTCTGATTTTGTATCAATGTCAGCGAATGGACCATTAGCAAGTTTTCAAAGAAAAGCTGCTTTCAGTTTAAGGCATTCGCACTGTTTGGTAACCATTGTACAGAAAGTCCACCAGTCATGTAACCATGTCTTTTGCAGGATATTGTACTGATTGCTTTATACTATTTTTTCTACAGTGAAGACAAAAGAACAGCGAATGTCATTGCTGTTGGAGGGGTGAAATGTCTCACACTGGACAGAGTGTAAGTTATATTATAATATCATTATATCTATAGTAATATCTATTCTCTCTTTGTTTGACCGTTAAATATCACTGCTCTCTCTACTGTAATAACATTGTACAGGAGAATGATAATAACTGTTGCATTATAGTTATTTTATGTACCAAAACTGAAACAGTTGTAACGCATAATATTTATCTATTTCACCTATCTTAACAGAGCCTTCAACCAACTGATTGGTCCCCTGAATGAGATTAAGAAAGTGGATGAACAGTACAGTCTTGAAGACGAGAACAGAGGAGCAGCCAGGTATGTCTTAAGGACCCAAGGAATCAAAACTGGATTAGAATTTATTGTTTCTTTTGTGCATTCTGCGTTTACTGGTAGTCATGCTTCTTGTTGTGTTACTGTAGTGTTGCATGAGTTTTCTTAGTTGTGCATTAGAGCTGTGTTTAGCTATATGTTTAGCTGTGCAAGAACATTAAAGGACAAATACAGTAATTTCATTTTTGTTGTCTTTTAACCCAAAATCTTATTTGCAAAATGTGATTCACTGGTTTCTACCAGTCCCGCACACAAAGGGGTGATATTTGACCCAAATCCATGTTCACGTTTGATGACTGCCTATTCCACCAGGAGGCTGTGGTGACGTCATGGGTCCCAAAAATGAAATTACTGTATTTGTCCTTTAATCAAGTACAAAAAATTAAGTATTTAGTGTTTATGTCTGCAAGGTGAATTAAATTGCAGTAATTTTATTGCTACAGTCTTTAGCCACTTCTTCCATATAATTTTCCAAGATTGTTTTATCCCAATGTAGCACTAATGTAGAATTCAAACTATTATTTTGCATGCCTGCTGTGGTGAATAATAATTTCATTCCATTGTGTGATGTACATACATGTATTTGTATCATATTGATGATGATCAGAATGCAATAAGATTGTTATTTTATAATGTTGTCTAATAAGGTACAATCATCCTGGATCTTATTATAATTATCCATTAATTACTTAATCATTAATCATGCTCACATTCCCCACATTCACATGTCACTATGATTAGTGTACAATCATTCAAACCAATCCATACATCACAGTTATATAAAGGCACTGGTCATAAATCTCTGTCTTAACAGATGATTCCTTCACTCCACAAGAAGACTGTTTGATTTCCTTCAGGATCAAATCTCAGCTGATAAATCTTAGCGCAATAATTGCAACATTACAGCATGGTGAAGTGCAAATTTCTGACTAATTACAGACTAATCAAGTCCCGATCACCAACCAATCAAATGAGCCAATCAGTTGAAGGCATACGTGTACAAGATTCTGTTCTGGACACATTTGGCAAGATTATTGGTTGTTATGTGTGTAGAATACTGCAGAAACGTGGCAGTAGAGATATCAAGTCCAGCACCTCCTCCAAGGACAGTCAGTAAGTACCATGATCCCCCAAGATTCATCTCAAAAGTTCATGGTTTTGAAGAAACAAACTTCTTTCATCAATCCTAAGTGTGTTTCCTCACTAGTCCCACCCAATCCCTAGTTTTTGTTGTTTATGGTTGTCAGTACATTTTGTTTGTTTTCCCTGTCCATCACCTGAAAGAATTTGTTTGTTTCAATCATGAACTTTTGAAATGATCCAAGGCAAGTCACCTGTGCGAACTGCAACTAACTGTGTGGTCATTGTAATTAAATCTAACACATCTCCTCGCAAAAATAACAGGTACAATGTATCTTTGTTTCTAAGAATTGGTAACATAATTTCTGCAAGCACTTTATAAAACCCATACTACGTGTCTCTAATGCAACAGCACACCATACTAAAACTTTGAAAGCGCTGCGCTTTGTCTTTTAACTGGGATATTTTCTTTATTGTGTTCCTAATGGTAACATACGTTTTGCAAACACTGTTATTGAAGCTTATCTAGTGTTTCCTTCATACAGATTTGATACAATTAATTGTGAAATTGTAAATTTCTAAATCAGATCCAAGAGCACCCACCTAAAATTTGACACAAAGACCCTCTTAGATTGTTCTCTCAGTGCAAAACACATTGCACTATCAAGCAAAGTCAAGAAAACACAATTTTTTTAGATCTAGACCTGGAATAACCCTAGGCAACTGCTGCAGACCCGTTCACATTGACTAACTAAGTATTGGTGGCTTCCAGGACAAGTGTTCCATCCTCAAGCGACCAAGTGAACGGACCTGCCGAGGACATGCTGCTGTACGCCAAGGTCCCGCTGGACGATCTAGACGTCGTGGCCACTCTGGGAGTTGGAGGCTTCGGGAGGGTGGAACTGGTAACATGCAGACATTTTAATCCTTACTGTTTCTGTCTGTGTCTATAGACTCTCTCTATATATATCTAACTAGAGGTCGGAGATCTCATGTCTTCGTCAGAGGTACATTGTTCTAGAGAAATGAACATGTGTATTCTTTACTCTTTTTAATAATCAATTTGGTCTAAAGAACAAAAGAATCTCTGTACTCTTTTTATGGTACAGAACACCCTGAAATGGTTTGCCGCAGATTATACAGATGCATCGTCACCCGTGTTAGCCCCCCCCCCCACGTTGTTTTTTTTTGGATTTTGGACTTTTACTGGAAAAAAACTTTCAAGAAATTCTTACTGTGTTGAAAGTGTCACAACAGTGTCGCAAAATATAATAAGAGAAGATCTTATAAAGGAAAGAATCAGAACAGGGCGACTACTGCTGTTTATGACAAATAGAAGACTTTAAATTAAATTTAATGTCTCCAGTGGACGTCATCCATTGCAATTACTTGGTGTGGCCGTAGAAAATAACCTGACACATGTCCAACCTATCCTCCCCCTGCTGAAGTTATTATAGTACAATCCCTTAATATAACGTCATTTGATCCCATCCCATTATGGGGTTCCCGGCTATATCCAGCTGTCGGCTGTCTCCAAGCAGATGTTGGTGGGGGATTTCTAAACACAAAAGGTCCGCTACAGTGACAACGGAACCCCCCACGAAGCCCATTAACGAACTTAACCTTGGTCTCAACAATAGTAAGTTGCCTACAAAAAATTATAAACATCAATGTACATATACTCGAGTTATTTTGCTAACAAGCCACAAACACAAAAGGTGCACTAACGTGACGCACGGACCCCCCACGAAGCCGAAACTTGCACTTGACTTCGGCCTTAACAACGGTAATCTGCCTGCCAAAAATCATGGACGTCGAATCATGCCTGTCAGAGCTATATCGCTAAATCCGCAGTCCCCACAATGCGGCGAGACAATTTCATAGTCCTTCTGACAAAGACAATTATGTTTACTGAAGGAAAACATGTTGTTTTTGCTCTGTTTCATCTTCCTCTTCTTCTCCAAACATATAAGGTCAACAACGTCTGTCACCATGTAATGTTGGGTTACATCATGTTGCAATTTTATAGCAGGAGGGATTTAGACTCCTGTCACCATATATATGAATGTGTTTGTGTAAAAATTAACACATATCCGAAGGTATACATTATGCATTTGCTTTGCAAATGTTACCAAGTTTCTACTGTATCAGTCTATCATTCTGTATTGCCCTCTTTCTCTCTATTTTTCTCTGCCTTCATTTTGCGTCTGACTATTTAGACAAATTTTGAAGATGAATTGTTTATCATCGATGTCCCATCCCATGCTAGGTGAAGTGGCAGGACAAGTCCTTTGCTCTGAAGTGCCTTAAGAAGAAACACATTGTCAACACCAGACAACAGGAGCACATCTACTCTGAGAAGGCCATTATGATGTCCTGTAACTCTCCCTTCATCATCAAGTAAGTCCTACCTGTCTAGCATGCCTCAGGTAGCAATGAATGGAATACCTTTTTCTATTACCTAGTTGCTGAGGTTCTTCAGTTTGGACATATTTTAAGACTGAATACAAGGAATCTGCAGCAACAACTGGAAGATTATCCTTTTTTGGCTAAAAGACATCAAAATAAATAATAAGAGAACTATCATCATTAACTTGTGTCAATGACAAGGGAGTGGGTTTGAGTTGCTTTGCTTTATCTAAGCCAATGATTATGATAATACCCCTCCCCCTGACTTCTCACCTGCAGGTTGTACAAGACGTTTAAGGACAAGAGGTATGTGTACATGATGATGGAGCCATGTCTGGGTGGAGAACTGTGGACCATACTGAGAGACAGGTGTGTGTATAGTATAAACTAGACAAATTACTCATGCCCCCTGCTGATAACACAGCTAACTGCACTGCCCAGTGATTTGTTTATCAGTCTTATATGTTTGTAGATATGATGAAATATGCTACTGTGCATTGTGGGACATAATGTTATTGTACACTGTACATCTGATCACATATTGTGTTTTTTTTTGTCTTGTAACTAACTGAATCTATTTTGTGTCCAGAGGTTCGTTTGATGACCACACCACTAGGTTCTGTACAGCCTGTGTGGTCCAAGCCTTCACATACCTGCACGGTAGAGGGATCATCTACAGGGACCTAAAACCTGAGAACCTGCTACTGGACCAGAGGGGATACGTCAAACTGGTAAGGGACAAGGATACAGGGATTTTCTTCTTAAACAACCGGTATTGTTTCTCACCAGCTTAAATTTCGATGTCTATCAGGCACCTTCCTCAGAGTGTCTGAGTGTTAAAGTCCTCATTGAACGATTTAGAATTAATGTTCACTCTGGTTCTCGTGTTCTAGTGTGACTTTGGCTTTGCCAAGAAGATCGGTTTTGGTCACAAGACGTGGACGTTCTGCGGCACACCTGAGTACGTCGCACCTGAGATCATCCTGAACAAGGGACACGACTACTCCGCAGACGTCTGGTCTCTCGGCATCCTTATGTTCGAGCTGCTGACTGGGACGTAAGCAACATGCTGGGCTTTGATTAGAGAACTCTGCTTGTATCATCATTTCTACATTTGATGATGTTGAATGTTTGGTGTACTTTCAGATTTCAAGTGCTTTGACTTGTATCCCACAGGCCACCGTTTTCTGGCTCAGACCCCATGAAGACCTACAACCTGATCCTGAAGGGTATAGATGCTGTGGAGTTTCCCAGAAAGATCGGCAAAAACGCTAACAATCTCATCAAGAAGCTATGCAAGTATGTGAAAATGAATGTCAAAAGTTTTATGTTTTTATGGAGTGAAGCTAACATTTCATATGGATTTAAAAGTGAAAGACTTATTTGATGAAGAAGAATTGAATGTGAAATGTATGACATACTTATAGAATGTACATTACATTATATGTTGTGTGTCAGCTTAACTTTAATAAGAATCTTCATAAACAATACATAGCAAAGACTGGATATACATACATTGTCACTGTGCTTTACATAAACCATGTGAGCTTTAGTTGGCAATTATTAGTTAACTGATGGATATTTGTTATTACTTGCCAGAGAGAACCCATCAGAGAGATTGGGCTATCAGAAGAATGGAATGAATGACATCAAGAAGCACAAGTAAGTACATGTACCATATTACAGCAATGAGTGGACATGTCCTTGGTGCTGAAGCAGGTCCTATCAAGTGATTCACCCCTTTTAGGGACTTTTGGAGGTCGCGAAACATTAAGTCGCCAGTAAGTACCATATTACAGCAATGAGTGGACATGTCCTTGGTGCTGAAACATGGATCCAATCAAGTGATTAAAGGCATCCAATGTGATTTTAGGGTGGAAAAAATGGATTTTCAATCTCCATTTTATGGCCATTGTTTGTAGTAAGTTGAATGAATCCTATTTCATGGTATACTGATATCTGTGAGGCAGAAATGTGATGTGTTGTAGGCTGGTTCTAGCAATTTATGGGTGATGCCCAAAAAATTAAGAGAGGCATCATGTAGCTTGTTTTGGGGCTATTTCAAATGCTGCTTCAAGTATGAAATTATGATCAAAATGACAGGAAATGTCAATATTAGACAGATTTCCTTGTCCAGAATATTTTTTTTGTTGTTGTTTTGCCGCACTGAAATTGCATTGGGTGCCGTGAAGGGCTTTTTGGAGATCAGTGAAGGGCTTTTTGGAGATCAGGAACCATTAATTTGCCAGAATCTACAATGTATTACATGCACCTTCCTACTTGGTGCAACATACATGTACAGGTCCTACAAGCAGAAGTAAATGTATTAGGTGATGCACTGTATAACATAGGTTTTTATATTGAATGTAATGTTGTAATTATTAAATAGAATTTGTTTTTCGTAGGTGGTTCCAGGGATTTGACTGGGATGGACTCACAACACAGTCAACACAACCTCCCATTGTTCCAAAGGTAAAGTTTAACTAAGGCCACACCAATTTAATTTCTTGGTTCTCGGATTCGCCTCTTCATTTTTTTCTGATTTGCAAAAAAAAAAAAAGATTCTGGTTCAGAATCAACTAAAAAATGCTCATATTTTGCTCCCAACAGTTGAGGAAAGTCCTTTTAGTTCTTACAGTTTTTCAATCTTTTAATGCAGTGGTTTGGTTAAAAGTTCAAAATTCATTGTTTCAAATTTTATCCCAGCCTTTTGTGTTGACTTCATGGCCCCAATCGAAGCATTTGGGACTATAATAGGATGCCTAGGCCTGTTTTTATTTTTATTTTTTTTCGCCCTGTCGCTTCATATTTTTTCTGAAAAAATCCGAGAACCAACAAATTAAATTGGTGTGGCCTAAGTAGTAAACTGGTTTCCCCCTACAAAAAACTATTGTCTTAAAAACTAATAATTCATTGAAAACCTCTCGTTCTATATGTTAAAAAATAATTGTGTTATTGTCACCTCATAGTATTTCACTTTTTTTGTTCATTTTACAGGTGCGTGGACCACAAGACACAAGTAACTTTGATAAATATTCCCGTGAGACTGACATCCCACCAGAGGAGACCTCAGGCTGGGACACCGACTTCTAGAAACAACAACGTGGCCTGATTTTTGTATCAAAAGGCTCAAGCAATGTGTCAAATCTTTAACCCTCACAGTATTCACACCAATCTAATTTATTGAAACTTTTCAAGAAATTAAAAGGGTCAAAATATATAAAAGAATGAACAAAATAGATAGATAAGAAAAATGAATTAGAGAAAACAATAACCAAGAAATCAAATTGGTGTGGCCTAAAGGAGATGAAATATGCTCATTGGCTTGTGACAATGAAAGAGTTCATTTTTACCAATGTGCATCAAGAGTTAGATGTGCATGATTGTTGCCAATATCAGTGAAGGTAAACATATCACAGATGTATATATGTACAGTAAACCCAAAGAGAGATTTGTATATTCAGATACATTTCAGTAGTGAACGTGCCATGATTTCATGTCGTGAGTTGTTGAAAGTAAATACATATGTTGGCAAGGATATCATGCTAAGATACACTTTGTGCCATACGCTTGAGTCAGTTCATCTGAGCTGGCCTGTACATGTAACCTTAAAATGATGAAAGGTTATAACTAGATATGGACTTCTTTTGGTTTATTTTGGGACACTTCGACAAACTAACTTGTTTCTAAGACAAATTTAAAACCTGTAGCTAATGAACTGTGATCTCTATCTAGGAGTAGGAGTGACTCTACATTAAAGGTGTCAATCCTGCTAGGCTGGAATGAAATGTTTTCCTTTTAATTAGTTTTCAGCATTGTCTGCGTCCACTTATGCCAATGTCTAAAAAGAGGTTTATACATTTTATATTCCAATGTCAGTAGACATACAATGTACAATCTAAATGTAGTCTTACGTGTTAGTATAACAATTACTCCAGTGATTATATGGGGACTTGACACAACAAAAGTTCAGAAACTGTCAAACTGCCATCTTACTATAGTCAGGTATTGTATCATACCAGTAAAAACAACAAGTCAAGTCTCACCATAGATGCAAGATCTCTTTAATAATAATAGATACTTGGACAGAAAGATTAATTTTTATTATTCAAGTAATAGGCTACATGTATATGTATATGTACAGTTCATGGGATTATGAGTATATGTATTAGGAAGGGCTCAATTTGCTTATGGCTCGATCATGACATGGAATAAATATTTTAAAAACTAACTTCATGTGCATGTAACAGTAGTTTCACACTGGTCAGCCATATCATGCCAGACATATGCCACAATGATACATATTTTCTAAATGTATATAGATATTTGAAATGTTTGGGTATTTTTCTTTTAATATGGTGAATGGACGTACAAAATGAAGGAAACTGAAATTTCTTTAATTTATAGATATCCCTCTTTACATCATTCTACCGTTTCAAAATTCTTAATTTAAGTTACGCCTAACCTCCTTTGTGATGTTGCTTACTTTATGAGCACCAAATGTTTAATATTTCTCTGAGAAATTTGGTGAAAAAAGAAAAATAAGTAGGTTAACATTTTGCACTTGATAATAACTGAAATTCATTCAACATGTGTATGACTTCGCCACCACATATGCAACCCATATGTTTCATAGCCAGAACTTTTGACATAACATACGATAGGATCTATCAGTGCCAATGGCAAATAGTCAACCACCTTTATAAGTTGTTTTTGAAGTTGATATGATTAGACATTTATAGATAATTATCAATGTTTGTGAAACACGTGGTCAATTTCTGTAAGAGATTACAGGAAGAGGTGTGATTTGTATATCGGTACACATTCTTTGTTTTAATGCATCATATCCATGTGTGTAGAAAAACTTGCTAGACTTGTTATCTGTCTGTTTTCAAAAGTGCATTTTGAGCACTTTTGACACACATTTTTCAGGTCTGTGGTGGCTAAAATTACGCATGAAATGGGGATGCGGAGAAGATGTGTTGTTATACAAAACTTTGTGGCAATATCATTTGGTGAAAGCTACTTGGTTGTTGAAATAATTGTTCTGAGGTCTGCCATGTGTTTACAACTGAACTGAAAGCATTTTATGTCAAAAAATGTTCAAATGAAATATTAAGATTGTGAGAATACGGCAAATCCTTACAAAGTTCAAGGTATATTTTTCCTAGTAACTTTTCTTAGCCCGTTTAGCCTCCGATCTTTCACAGTGCATCATTCTGTAAAAATGTCACATCAAACCTCCATTCCGAGATATTACAATTCTGCTACAGTTTATGGTGCCAAAAACACACACAATGAAAATATTGTGCTCGAGTTTACCCATACATATCCAAGGATAGTATCCGCAGATGAAACAGCTGTTGTCAATGTGACGTGGTTCTTCATTTATAATGTTCACACAATAAAGACAATTTCTTTCAAGCATGATGTCCACTTTCTTGATAATACCTTGTTGTTATGTTGCATGAGAGACAAAAATAGCAGGACGACCATTTTTATCATGATTGTATACTCCTGAGTCTAGCTGCCATAATTTGGCATTAACGTTAGGCTACGAAAAGGCTAACTACAAAACAACGGCAGCAAATACTTTCAGTGACACTTTGTATTAACGACCTGGTTTTGTCCATAACGTTACGTTGTTTGAAATGATATTTCAAAGTTGCATATATGCTTTTAAACTGTAATGTTCGCTGAGGACTTAATGGTAAGTTTAACGAGTAGAAAAGTATCCCCGTCATTTATATAATGACTCAACGCAACGACGTCGGTAGCTTCTTGAAAAGCTTTACACCATCCTGACTTACATAAGAAACGAACATACATGTACATGTATTGCGTTTCACTGCCGTCAGCTAACAACAAAGACAAATGACCTTTGACCTTCCGCAGGTAACAGTTACTCACCTGTATGACGCAGGTAACAATTTCACCTTCTTAACACCTGTTGATCATCCCTCTAGAGACAAGACTGACCACTACACAGGGGCTGAGAGGCTACTGAAAAGACCATGGCGTCCCCTGGACCGTTGTTAGTGCTGGTGATGCTGGCATGCTGTTGGTCAGAGGCGCACACTTCTACGTTGTCCCGTGGGTCGGCCGTGGACGAGAGTTCTGGGCGGGAGTTCGTTAAGAACGGCGTAACAGGTAGATTTTTCACCCTATACTGGTAGCATTCATGGTGAAGAACACAGATTTCTAAAATTAAGAACAAATGTTCTGAATCCCAATCCATATTCCACGCCTGTAATACATTAACCTTGTATGTTAATTAAGTCAAGTTACGTACAAATGTAAGTGTAAGATATTGACGTGTTAAAGAAAACTTTTCCGACATTCAAGATACTACCTACTAAACATTTAGGGCTACTAGGCTCCTTTAAAACGTTTCACTGAGATCGGTAGATCCTCTTTGGTCAATGTATCATCTTGTAAAACATGATTAAACACAGTGACGAGTCTGAACACTAATTGTACAGTAGCTGGCTTAACCTGTACACGTATGACGTAATCTATTGTTTGCTCTTATGTACATGGCCCCTTATGTACACAAAACGATATTAGCCCAGGTGAATAAGTAGACTAGTTTTGTTCCAAAAGGCTCTCGTTTTATATTGGGTCCATCCGAACACTTATGAGAACTTCTTGATTAGTTCTTGGAGCTTTAACTTACATGAGTTTATTTCTCCTTCTATACAGGAGGTACTGACGCGCCCAAAACATCTACGATATTTCCTGACGAGGCCACTCCGTCCCACTTCTTGGGGACATCGTCGTCAAAACCCAATGCGACAGTGGGTGGCACGACATCCGGTACACCGCCAAATGCAACGGATGTTCACACTATACCACCCAATACAACCCATGTTCACACTACACCAAATGCAACTGAAGTCTACACTACTGCACCTATTACAACCCACGTCCACACTACACCGACAAATACAACATATGTTTACACTACAACCCACGTCCACACTACACCACCAAATGCAACCAATGTCTATACTACTGCACCGAATACAACCGACGTTCACACTACATCACCAAATACAACTCACGTTTACACTACTCCATCCAATACAACCCATGCTTACACTACACCAAATGTAACCGACATCTACACCACTTCACCCAATACAACTCATATTCACACTACACCACCATATACGACGCTACCCAATACTACATCTTCAGTGAAAACCACACGGATTCACACCACTTCATCAGCTAATACCACAGCGCCTCCCACTACCAACATTCACACAACCTTGCACGTCCCTACCACGACTGTCCCAGGACCCATATCCGGAACGTGGTACGTCAATCAGTCAGGAGAACCCTGTCTCATCCTACAAGCCGCCATCACAATCAACATCACGTACTCCACATCTCCATCCACCGCCTCAGCCGTCCTGGTCAGTCTGCCCCAGTCTGCCGAGTCAAGCGGTAACTGTGGACCGAACACTTCTCACATAACACTTGGACTACAGAGTGGCCACTTCAACTTGACTTTTACCTTCGGCGCCAACGTAACCGTCAATGGTCTGAAAAACGCGTTCATGTTGTCTCAAGTCAACCTCGGGTACGTTTTGGATAAGAACATGTTTCCCGACTCTGTCGCCGACAAACCCGTCCTTGTTCAGTACTCTAATTTTTCCAACGCGCATCTTTCGGCCTCGATGGGCTCGTCCTTAAAATGCGATGCAGAACAGTCCTTCAGCCTTGACCGTAATCACGTGCTAAGCATTAGCCATGTCCAAGTTCAGCCGTTTTCTGTGCAGGACGGAAAGTTCAGCAAAGCAGAGACATGTCCGGAGGATGGCGACAAGGGTTCGCACTACAACTTGGGCGTGGCGGTCGCTCTTTGTGTGACAGTCCCGGTCATCTTCATGGCCGTCTTTATCGGGTGGCATTACTTCTGCGTCATGAGAAAAAGAGGAGGGGGAAAAGCTTACAGCGCACTGATATAGTAGGACTGATATAATAGATAACCTGATAGGCGTGCTTAACAAGGTCAATGTTGTAGATGTACAAACTTTAAGATCTTCGTGCCATTTAGGAACGCGATTTGAGGCTGGCAGGACTAGTACAGATAACCTGTGGAACATTCTTGTAGGTATTGCTGACTCGCAAAAGAACAACAAAGTTTTAACATCTTATATACATTTCAGTCAATACATTATGTTAATTGTTCAATAAAAAAAACTATTCTTGAATTCCTTTTTTTATATAATAAACTTGAGGGCGATTTCATATGGACCAGCTCGAACGCAATTCCTCTGAATAAACTGTTACAAACTGACCTGATTAGCTATGGTCTTGTAAAATACGTGCACCCTGACTGTAACACAATCTACAGTTCAACCAATGAGAGAATGGAAATTTTCGGTTCGACCAATGAGAGATGGCTACATGTCCGTCTGATATTTGCAATTTTCTATTATCATTTCACATTTCTAAGTCATACTGGTTGGTGGGAGGGGCTTTTGGATCGGTCTGGAAAACAATAAGGGCCACATATGAAATATCAGTCGACTCGATTGCGACTTGCGTACCTGTTACAACCATTGCAAAATAAGCACCGATCAGAGCGCTCGTTTCACACAACGTTACTATCAATTGAAATAAAAGATCAAAGAAATATCTTGTTGAAGTTAAATTATACGTTTGCAATTGCCTGCATGCTGCATGTCTATTACGCTATATCTAATAAAATTTTGACTTAATTGAGAAATATGCAAATCCTGGTGATTCATGAACAGGTGGTAGGACCACGCCGCTCAGTGCAAGATGGCGGCGTGTGCGTTTGGAAGGGGCAGAACTTGGTGGTTAAAATTCGCCTTGAAAGACGCTCTACGACCGTTTTAGGTGGTGAGTTCTAGTTAACATTGTCCACTATATTCTCGTGACTATTCTAAGTGAAAACATTGGAATGAAATGAAGAAAAAACACGGAATAACAAGCGTTTAATTCTGCACTAACAAAACAGCCGCTGGAGGGAACTTAGACTCCAAGCAGATGTGTTGGCTTTGGCTTATTTTTGGCTATTGCATCGGGCTTTCTTTTTTGTACCAGCCAAAAAGTGTTTCGAAGTCAATTTACTTGGTAGCGCTATTAGACTGCACTTGCACGGGAGGTAAAACTAATCCAAGACGGCCATGCCTTCGAGTAGCAGAGATATCAACGAAGGATTGAGGTGTTCAAAAACTAGTTTTTCCCTAGAACTATGGTAGAGTGGAACTTTAATATTGCCACCAAGTACAGCAGGGGCATCATCATTAGCAATGTTGACAGTTAGATAAGTAAAAAGGCTTGGTGACTAACATGTCGTTCAGTGTAATAATATTAGCCAGTTGCCGCCTAGCCACGTGCATGCGAAGCTGGTGTGTTACGCCGCTCAGGGGCGGTTATTCCGGCTATACAGAAGATAGATAACAGTTACAGAAAACCTGAGCTGATGTAACCTCCTTCGCAGACTTGTAGGTCTTGTAGGGTGCGGCGCGGCGCTAAATTTTTTTCGGTGAGCGACGGGAGTTATGCCGCGGAGGGACGATTTTGCCGCCGAGGGAGTTTTGCCGGGAGAGACGGTTTCGCCACCCAACAAGTCTGCGAAGGAGGCTATACTGCCTGTCTTCTTCTTAGATACTATGACTGTGACAGGTAAACAGTTATTAAAGTGTTATACCCCGTAACACAGTGGTCAGGTACTGAGGTAGGTACAACATTCACATTCAATTTGGCTCTGGTGTACAAAGTTGACTTTCCTCTGGTGTACAAAGTTGGCCTTCCTAGAACAAGAGGTATTGCTACTTTTAAATGAAGTTAAGTTATTCTGATGAAATTGAAGTATAATTATATTGTTTTTTTGTGTCCGTGCCTGTATGTGCTTAGTTTATTCACCAGTCTGATTTGATTTGCAGAAGCACAAAATCTCAGATGCAGTTTACTCATGTTACGAAAACTATTCACAATCACCATGGCATTGGCAAGTATGTCTCTGTGCCAAGCTATGTTCATCTTTTTGTGAATGTTTGTAACAAGATTCATTCTTTACATTTATCTACACTGCATGATTGTACTGTTTGTGATCAGCTAGGTTACATGTATTTTGATTGTTCTATGCATTATACACAATTATGTGATATGCCACTGTGTTACTCATCATAATTATGGATAATTAAATTAAGAGCTGTTGTTTTCCATGTTCTGAGAAGTTTGTTCTCGTCATGATGTTCTAGGTGTGCCTTTTTAATGTTCTGTCAATCTGAGCTGTGTTTCAAGTTTGTTGAACTCGGATGTTTGACATGCATTTCTACTGTCTTATGTAGGACTACATGTGACGGGTTCATGTGTTACTGTATTGACTATTGAGTGTACAAATGTATTTACATGCCATTGGGTTTTTTTTTGCCTTATCAGATGAAGCATTAGTTTGTTGGCTATAGTATGATAGTATGTTTTTGTAGTCTGTTTGAATTTTTTAATGACTGTTCTGTCAACATGAGATGTGTGCCAACTTGTCAAATGAATTGTATTATTTGATATGTGAGATGTATTTTAATGTGATTGTTGTTTGGTCATGATATTCTATATCCACTTTCAACTGACTATTATAACAGTACTGTACTTTTGCCATGCTTTTTTTTTGCCTCGCTAACGGAGTCTTGTTCCATCTGCTTTTGTCCCCAACCCATAAAAGCAGGTTTTAAAACTTTGACAAATGTGTGAATATTATTATTAATAATGTATTTTATCTTATCATATGGCCCACATATGAATGACAGTTTGATTGTGATTATTGCTGATGTATGCATGTTTGGAATATGTTTTTTTCTGAATGAGTTTCCTTTTGTACCATAGGTTGTGGGAAGCTGATGCTGTATACCTGGTCATATTCCAGGAGGACCTGTCTGTATTCCTGGAGGACTCATCTGTTTCTGAGGGTCCTCAACTCTGAGGGTCATCTACTTATGATCTTCAAGACAAGAGAACATCGGACTTGACTGTGAGTTGACTTTCACTTCTAGAACTCTTTGGGGATCTGCATGCTGCAAGGCGTAATCAGCTGTTTGCACAATTAAACTTTTGTGTAATGTTAATTGGATGCTGCGCTGCTCTGAAATCGCCATTGAACATTAAGCTTAATATTTGCATAAAACATCCAGCTTGTGCATATGAAGCATAATACGTGGTCGCTGCTTTCCGGGAATGTAGCACAAAGCTTGATTGTGAACTTTCTTGCAGATCCCTTAAAAAATGACAATGAAAAATGTTGGCAAAGGGCATGTTTTTGATCCTCTAGATTTTTAGTTCCAAGCACCATTGTTTAAAAAATTGGCCCACCCCGCTATTTGTTGTCATTTTTGAAAGCATTCATACTTAAACTAATATTTAGTTTAAGGTTGTGATAACTCATTGCAGACACTGTGTTAAACACATTTTCCTATTGAAGAGAGCACATGCAAAATTGCCTTTAGTTTCTCTGTATGGTAATGGGGTATATTTTCAAATCATTTGCAATCAAAGTGTTTTCCCTGGTTAATCTTCTGAATCATAATTGACTAACACCTTTTAACATCTAGTCTAGTAAACTTGGCTAGTCTAAGTCATTTCTGAAAATAAAATATAGTGAGGGAACCTATAACAGAAGCAAACTGTATTTAGGGATGAATTGTGTAATTATAATGTAGAACAGAAAATTAGGTGGAACACTGCAAAGAGACACATTTTTTTCATGTTGATGCAGAGGCATGGATAGTCAAGATTTTGAAGTAGTCAGCATTTTTCCATACAATGATTTACTGGTTTTTACCATTTGGCACTAACAACAACACAAAATGAAATTAAGCCACAAACTTAATTTGGCTTGATAGCTACATTTATCCCCAAAGACAGAAGATTATTTATTGCAACAACAAGACACAGTGGAACATTTGAGGCAGCATATATTTGGCTGATGTTGTGAAGATAATCACACAGAAGTTCATTAAGGGTAATTAGATACACAGCCAACGTTGGAAATGTTCAAAACATTTTTCTTTCAAACATTTACCAAGTAAACTACTGTAAGTTAACAATGAAATATACCAACAAAAAGATTTTAATATATGAACATGATTTACAAGACCATAACATGTATTCCACAAATTATTTTTTTTAAAGAAGTGCGTGTATTACCAATGAAAAGTAAAAAAAGGCTAAAAAATACTCGAGTTAAGTTTTGTTCGGCCATTTTCTTTAATTTATGCCATGTAGTTTATCAGACTTTTTAATCACTATTTATGGACTTGTAGCACTTAAAAAGCTCCTGCAAAATTTAGGGCTCGTCTCAAGTTGATCTGAATTTTGAGTGATGTTTTACCCTGACAGATCCGTGAGCTTGACAGTAGGTCTGGATTTAGGAGCAGGAGATTCTAATTTTTCCATTATTATTAATACATAAAAGAGTTTACAAAGTTTGATAGAGATACCAAACGCAATTCCTCTGTTTCTATATTTCCACTTCTTGTCCCTGAGATAGCCAGGGCTTAGCCTGGAGGAGGAACTTCTGTCCTAGGGTTCACAATAGACCTCATTCCAGTCGGGTCAAAGGTAACAAAGATGGCATGAAAACAATTATCCATATCCTGTTTTATGGACTTTTCTTGTGTGTGTGTGTGTGTGTGTGTCTGTGTGTGTGTGTGTGTGCGTTTTTGTGCCGTATGGTAGATTGTGTCCATTACCCACTCGTGTGCAATAGCCATGTACCTGGCATCAATTGTTCTTTTATAATTATGTAGGTATAATAGGGCCAGCAGTCCTGATGTTCCTGTCCAAACCAGGCTAGATGAGACAGCCTACTTTGAAGTTGAAGACTAGTTCGTACAGGTGAGACAATGCTTTCCAACTTAAAGTTTATTTTTTCTGCATATTAAAAAATAAAATCTGCACAGGAGAAATACTGAATGGAATGTAATGAAGCAGTACTGTTAAGAACTGAGAGGCAATAACAAGCAACTAATACTACTAGTATAACCTCCTTGGTCCCACATTGCACTTTGAGTCATTTGAGATATAGCGCGCCACACTGTGCTTTGGACCTTTTACAGGCAGCAGTTAGCTCCATTCTTACTGTCATAAACTTGCATTTAGTGAGGCCAATTGCTGTTGTCAATACAGTAACTTTCGTTTCTTTGTCTTCAAGATGCGGACCCGGAGACTGGACTGCCGCAGGAGGAAGAACCAGACTTTTGTAGGCAGGGCTGCGTGAAAGAAGATGGGGAGGAGTGAGTATGGTTTCTTTATTAACACGAGACAACACTCCACATGCACACACTTGCACTCACATTTCTCTTTTTTCGTGAGGAGCCATTTAATGTTTACTGTAGCCGGCGACTTAAATTTCATAGCAAGCAACACTGAAAAATTCTTAATATTGTATGGTTGAATGCCAAATTACCCCTAAATTGTTGCTTCAGACCTTAACACTTAAATTCTCCTGCCGAAAAACTGTGTATCTTAGCCGGCCACATTGATTCCTTAGTCATCCTCTTCATATTGTATAAATGCCAAATTGCCCCCTAAATTGTTGCTTCAGACCTTTACACTTAAATTCTTCCGCCGAAAAACTTCGCATCTAACCCGGC